GGGGTCGCGACGAGGGGGGGGCCGCGACGGGGGCCGTGGAGGGCCGGGCCGGGACGACGGGGCACTAGGCGACGGGGCAACGGGGCGCCGGGCCGGGCCGCGACGGGCCGTTAGGGGGCCGCTACGGGCCGTTAGGGGGGCGCTACGGGCCGTTAGGGGGCCGCTACGGGCCGCAAAGGAGCCTCTACGGGCCGTGAAAGGGGGGCCACTACGGGCCGCGAAGGGGCCTCGAAGGGCTGGCGCGACACGCGCGTCGGGCAGGTAGGAAATTTTTTTTTTTTTATTTATTTTAGTGGTGGGCCCTTAGGAAAAAAAATTTGAGGAATTGAGGAATGAATGACTAGGAAATGAGTTGGGTACAAATAGGAAACCCTAACAAACTGTACCCCATAGTGTCTACCCCACTACAGCCTAAACAGGCTATGTGATTAATGTTTGACAGAGAGGACGCAGGAGAAGACGGCAGAGGGACACGCTGTGGAGCAGTGGAAGGACGCAGAGTCATAGAGTGAGTGCCGGGGACAGGAGGGGGACGCTGACGCGGAACACGACGACCAGTGCGAACTGGGCGAACAGGCGACTCAGGACGAGATTCAGGCGACGCAGGACGAGACTCAGGCGACGCAGGACGAGACTTAGGCTCACGACGCTCCGTAAGTCCTCTAGTCGGTCCAGAGTAAGGAGAAGGACCAGGCAGTGGAGAGGCAGGCTGTAACTGCGACGGTGACTGGACAGGTGGTGGACTCAGTAAAGGAGGAGTAGGACGAGGAGACGGCGGGAGACCAAGAACCTGCTGAAGGAGCGGAACGTAGTACGGCCGCGGCCGCGCAGCGCCTCCAGAAACAGCAGAGACAGTACCAGTACCCTCAGCTCCAGGGTCTCCAGCTACAATTCCCACAGCACCACTAGCTCCAGTACCTCCAACAGCTCCAGCTCCAGTAGCACCTCCAGTAGTAACAGCTCTAGCACCTACTGCTCCAACTCCTACAGCACGACCAGCCCCAGCAGCTCCAGTACCTCCAGTACGAGCACCTCCGGGACCAGCTGCTCCAGCACCTCCAGCAGCTCCAACACTAGCAGGACCTCCAGCAGTGCCAGTACCTACGGCACCAGCACCTCCAGGACCAGCGGCTCCAACAGCTCCAGCACCAGCAGCACCTCCTGCAGCTCCAGAAGCACCTCCAGCAGCTGCAGCACCAGCAGCACCTCCAGCAGGTCCAGCTTCAGAAGCACCTCCAGCAGCTCCAGCTCCAGAAGCACCTTCAGTAGCAGGCCCAGTAGCTCCAGCAGCACGGCGACAGCGCCGAGTGTACCACTCACGAAGCTGCTGCGGAGAGAGGGGCACCCGCCGTGACGGGACACCCGGAGGACCTCCAGACTCAGCACGCTCAGGCTCAGCACCCCCAGGCTCAGCACCCCCAGGCTCCACACGCTCAGGCTCAGCACCCCAAGGCTGAGCACCTCCAGACTCAACACCCCCAGGCTCAGCACCCGCAGGCTCCACACGCTCAAGCTCAGCACCCCTAGGCTCCGCACCCTCAGACTCAGCAACCCCAGGCTCAGCACCCCCAGGCCCCGCACCCGCAGGCTCAGCACCCCTAGCAGCACCAGAGTCGACAGCTACCTCGACAGGCTCGACAGGGTCTACCTGGGACACACCTGAGGGGGCAGGACCCTGAGGGGGGAGGGGGTCTACCGGAGGAGCACCTGGGGCTAGGAAGAGGGGCCGGGGGGGGAGAGAGGCTGTGCGGTAGGGAAAGAGACGGTAGTAGGAGACCGACTCATCAAACTTGACGTCCTGAGAGGACAGAACACGACGCGAGGTGGGGTGGTAGAACTGCCACCCGGGTGCGTCAGGGGGGAAGCCAAGGAAGACGCAGGGAATGGCACGGGAGGACAGCTTGTCCGCTGTAGTATCGCGGACAAAAGCTCGAGATCCCCAGACACGGAACGCGGACGCATCGCCAACCTTCCCCGTCCACCGCAGAGTAGGTGTGGTCTCCGGCAAGGAGACACGAGGCTGAAGGTTGATCTGATGCGCAGCGTACTGAACCGCGAACGGCCACAGAAAATGGGGAGCAGCCGCATGGATCATGGACGTACGAGCGACGTCCATGACCATGCCAATGCGGCGCTCAGCAATCCCATTTTGCTGCGGGGAGGCCGGAAGCGTGAACGTCTGGCGGATGCCCTCCGCACGACAGAAGGCCCTCAGAAGGTCGGAGGAAAACTCACCACCTTTGTCTGAGTGCAGACGCTGAACAGGAAGGTCCGAGCTGAAACGCTCGCTGAGCTGGCGACGGGCACCGCGGATCCAGTCGATCAACACCTCAGTGACCTCACCCTTGCTGCGCAAGGGGAAGACTGTGGTGTAGCGCGAGTAGTCATCAACGACCAGCAGGAAGTAACGCTCGCGACCCTGTCCACGGACGCGGGCTGGGCCCCACACGTCCATGTGGAGAGTCTGCAGGTGAGTACAAATTCGCGCTGAGGTTGATGTTCCTGTTGAACGAAATGATCCGAGGAGCACATGTGCTGTCTGCAGCAACTGTCCAAGAACCAAGTGTCTTTCCCGGACGGCTCGCTCTGGGCGATGGCTGCATACGTTGGGTTGGGCTCCAATGATTCGCGGCGAGGAGTGCTCTCGACGAGCTGTTCTTCTGGTGAGTAGAATGGTGGTGATCCAGTGATGCAGGGGTCTGTCGTTCTTGTAGTGCAGCTTACAATGTTTCTTGTGCCTTGCGTAGGTTTTGTCGTTGATGACGTTGAAGACTGTTTTTGATTGGTGGGATGCGCCTGCGTAGAAGCTACTTGACTGCTTGAGGGCCGAAGTTGACGTTGCGGCGACGTTGACTGCTGCTGATTTGGGCAGTGTGTGCGAGGATGTCTGGGCGTCTTGCAGAGGTGACAGAACGGTGGGACGTACTGTTGATCTTGTCGGTTGTTCTGTCGATTGTTGTTGTTGTTGTAGCGTCTTTGAGTATGAAACGCGAATTTTGGTGCTGACGCTCTCTTCTTGTGTCGTTCTTTGTGTAGATCCATATCCTGCTATTCAGCGTGAATTTCGGCGCAGAGTGCTGCTTCGGAGATCTTCCCGTGAGCTCGGAGGAGTGCTCGAGTGGAGCGCCAATGAGGACTAAGGCCAGCGATGATAACTGTTACGAAGGCTTCTTCGGATATCGATCCTCCGCATCGAAGGAGTCTGTCGCGCAAGCCACGACAACGGCTGATATACGCAATTCCCTTTTCGCTGGGCTTCATTTTCACTGTTGTCAGCTGTGCCATGAGATGACTTTGATGAACACTGTCTGTTGCTTGATACAGGCTCTTGAGGTGGTCGTACGCCAGCTCGGTGGAATTGCCGTATCCTCGATAAGACCGGATGTTTTGCTGCTCGTTTGGAGATAGATTTCGCAGAAGTATCGTATACGCCATCAATGACTGATATGTGTGCTGCTGCTTGTCGTACTGCGTCCCGTGTATTGGGTATGGCAGGGACCCGTCGAAGAATCCAAGAATTTGCGCGCCCTCCATCATCAACTCGAACTCGAATGACCAGGTATAGAAGTCTTTTCCGTCGAAGGGTGCCGATGTTTGCAGTTTTAACACATGTGCGAACTGTGATTGAACCTGAAGCGCGTCCAGTGTCTTCTCTTGTCCAGGTGAAGGCTGTTGGTGTGGCATGAAGCTGATGGAGCCACGTTGAGGTTCGTACGGAGCAAAGGTAGGTTGCTGCTGGTTTCCGCGTGCATAGGATGAGCCGTCAAGGCTCATTGGGGTAACTCTGTTGTTGTTGTCACTGTTGTTTGACTACGCAAGAGCTGCTTGCTGGTGTTGCTCATAGAAGGACATGAAGGAGAAGAATTTATCCATCATGTTTGGGTCGAAGCCTGCTGCTTGATTCCCGGAAGTTTCGGTTGACTCCGCAGCTAGTCTTGTCGCTGTGCCTTCCTCTGTCAGTAGGCCAGAGGCTGGAGGTGGGGTAGGAGTAGTGCCGGGAGATCCATTGGAGGAGCTCCTCTCCTTCTGTGTTGCCATGCCTTGTGTTGTTGTATGAGTTTGGGAAATTGATCTTGCCTTGGAGGCTGTCATACCATGTTGGGTTGAGAATTAGCCCTTAGGATCTTTTCAAGGCTAAGATCTCTTGAGTAGGAATGTTGTAGTTTGCGGAAGAGTAATATCAGAGTTGCTGAACCACCTTGTACTGGTATGTGAGAACAAGATAAGTTGATAATAGCAAAGAGAAGCAAGGCTTTATATGATTACAAAGGAATACGAAAGGTTTTACTTTAACTGTTTTGCTGTTGCGGTTCGATACAGTGATGACTCGGGTAACTGCTCAGTATCGAGTCAGTTATGTGTCCTTGCTGTCGCACTGTACTTTTCGTCGAGTCAAAGGTCAGCGACCTTTGACCTTCGCGTAACCTCCAGCTGTTACTTTTGTTGACTCGTGTGTTGCTTCACTGTAGTCTACTCCGTTTCGTGTTGATACTTCGATACTTCAGAAGCGTTACGTTACTTGTTTCCAACAGCTGGTAGTGAGGTTCGGGCTAGTCCCGAAGCGTAGGTCGACTCGGGCCAGTCCATAAGTGCATGGTTTGGCAAAAGTGATGCTCGAAGGCGGCGAAACTGTCAGTATCCCAACCACTAGACCATTGGGATAAAATGGCTTGTTAAGTAGCGGGTCAGTGCGCCCATAACCCCTCAGGACAACGAGCCTGTAACCCTTCCCTATGATCAATCGGAGATCACTGTCAAACTTATATGCCATAGTCTATCTAGGCTGTAGTGGGGTAGTTCATATAGGGTACAACACTTTAGGTTTCCTACCTGTACCCACCTGCTTTCTAGTTCATTCATTCCGTTCCTTATTCTAACATGGTATTCTGAGCAGGTTCCCTCGTGGAAACGTTCTTTTTTTAGGGCCCACCACGAACTTTTTTTTTTCCTGCCCTGCCCGAAGCGCGCTTTGCGCCTGCCTCACCCTGCCGTTGCGGCCCCTACTGCTGTCGCGGCCCCTGCTGCTGTCGCGGCCCCCTGCTGCCGTCGCGCCCCCCTGCTGCCGACGCGGCCTCTGCTGCCGTTGCGGCCCTTGCTGCCGTCGCGGCCACTGCTGCCGTCGCGGCCCCCCTGCTGCCGACGCGGCCTCTGCTGCCGTCGCGGCCCTTGCTGCCGTCGCGGCCCCCACTGCCGACGCGGCCCCTGCTGCCGTCACGGCCCCCTACTACTGTCGCGGCCCCTGCTGCCGTCGCGGCCCCTGCTGCCGTCGCGCCCCCTGCTGCCGTCGCGGCTCCTGCTGCCGTTGCGGCCCCTGCTGCCGTCGCGGCCCCTGCTGCCGTCGCGGCCCCTCCTGCTGTCACGGCCCCTGCCGTCGCGGCCCATGCCGTCGCTGTTAGAGACTAAGGACGGAGTCTATGAAGATTAAGGGCCGAAATAACTTAAAGTCGTCAACTATAATTCAGGACAGAAAAGTTGTCGTCACAAGAAACGTCGTCGACGATTTACGCACGATTAGAATTCTCTCAAACTCGAGTATGTTGTAGCCCTTGAACTTGGCTATCTTTCCCAATTTGAATAGTATCAAAATATGTATTATAACTCGAGTTATAAACTTCGGCGCACTAGGGGGTATGCTGCCATAGAAAACGTAACTCAATAACAATGATCTCACAAGTTCACACAAGAAAGTTGGAGTAGTACTTGAACCAGGTAGGAGGGGATGAGGAGGACGAGAGGGAAGGTCCCAAGGGAGTCCCCAACCAAGGAAACCCCATACCACACAATTCCCCTCTCTATAGGCACCCCAACTTTGACATTTGTCACTTTCCCAACTCATGCCATCCACCTCACCCAACTTGGCCACACTTGCCAACCTGGCTTGGCTTCTCCCAACCACTTTGCATCATCTACAGTGATGGTGACGAATTTCCCAACCCCCAAAAGTCTGTACCCCATATTGAGTCAACCCGCAAATTCCTATAGTCGCCGCATCATAATCAAAACTTCGAACGATCATATCTTTCTCGTTCTTGCTTCGATCGCAGCGATTCTCGGTTCGTCGGGAAGCTCTTGAGCAGAGGAGTCACTTCAGATATCTGCTCAAGCCAAATAACATTCACACACACTCAGAAAATCCAAACAACACCAAACACAAATTCTTGCACACGCTCACACCACGCATGCAACACACGAACATATGATGGGAGGCAGACAGACGTGAATGCAAATGATTGCATCACATAACAAACTCCCCCTCTGGCTGCCTACCATCATCCCATATGCCATAGCACAAGCATGCACCCTCAATGCACACTCATTCCAGCAAGTTTCATTCCCTTCCAATGCTCATTTTCGGCCAGGCGCTTGGTGAGAATGTCTGCCGCCTGCTGATGGGTCTTCACAATCTCCAGCCGCACCTCCTTGTCCAGGAGCCTCCTCACCCAGTGCCACTTTGGCCTGATGTGCTTTGTCAGGCCATGAAGACAAGCATTCTTTGCAAGCTTCACAGCCGACTCATTGTCACAAAGAATCACAGTCGGCTCCTTCTGGCACACTCCGATCTCCTCCAACAAACGCCTCAGCCAGACCACCTCCTTAGCCCCATGATGAAGGGCCATGTACTCAGTCTCACGTGAGGACAGCCCCACCTCGTTCTGCTTCTTGCTGCGCCAGCTCACTGCACCACTTCCAAACAGGCACACATAGCCTCCAATGCTGGTGCCATCCGCCTTTACAGAGTTGAAGCTAGCGTCGGTGTAGCAAGTCAAGAGCATCTCCCCCTTGCCCAAATCAGCAGCACCCCGTTGCTGCCTTTGCCTCACAGCACTGTACTCCAAACCCACAGATGCTGTAGCACTCACATAGCGGACCAACCTCTTGGCCGCTTCTAGCTGCTCATGACTGCGGCGTGAGACCACACTGGCAAGCCTGAATGTTGCAAAGGCAATGTCAGGTCGCGTGTGGTTAGCTGCATAGTTGAGTGCCCCTACCATGGAATGAAACAACTTCTTGTCACTCTCACCCACCACCTCCTCATCAGCACAGGGCTCCACAGTGAAACCTGAAGGCAGTGGGGTGGCTGGCTTTCCTGCATCTTGCAGCCCATACTTCTCAGCCAGCCCCTCACAGTACTTCCTCTGGTGCAACCTCAACACTCCCTTGTCAAGGTCTCTCTCCACATGCATCCCAAGGTAATACTTGACATCTCCCATTTTCGAGCACTTGAACTGCATCTCCAGCATCTCCTCCACACGCTCAATCATTGCAGCCGACTCAGAGAAGAGAAGGATGTCATCCACATACACCAGGAGCATGAGGAACTGCTCCTTCTCTTGCAGCAGGAACAAGCTGTGATCACACTCGCTCTTCTTGAAACCCCCAGCCAGCAGTGTCTCCTCCAGCTTGTGGTACCATGCGTGAGGAGCCTGCTTCAGGCCATAAATGGCCTTCTTCAGCCTGCACACCCTGCCGCTCCCATCATCCAATCCCTCAGGCTGCTGCATGTACAGCTCCTCCAGAATGATCCCATTGAGGAAAGCAGTTGTGATATCCATTTGTTTGATCCTCCATCCGCGGTTTGCAGCCATTCCCAATATCACCCTCAGTGTAGTCCCTTTCCCCATAGGAGCAAAGATCTCGTCAAAGTCCTTCCCCTTTGTCTGCTGAAACCCCTTTGCCACAAGCCTTGACTTGTAGCGGGTCAGCTCCCCATCAGGTCCGTACTTGTGCCTGAAGATCAGCTTGGAAGAAATGGCCTTCTTCCCAGGAGGCAGCTCACACAGCTCCCACGTTTCATTCTCCAGCAGAGAGTCATACTCCTCCTTCACACTCTGCTTCCACTTCTCAGCATCGGGCCCACTCAAGGCCTCAGCTAGCGTCTTGGGCTCAGGGACGGCTGCCCAGTAGCAGTGTGCTATCTCATCCTCATCACACTGCTCAGCCACACTCCCAGCCCGTACCACCTTTGGCTTTCCAAAACTAGGATAGGTCAGTCTATTAGGAGGGCGCACATCCCTCCTAGGACGGTCAAGCGGACGTTGGGCACGTGGTGGAGCATCTTGCTGCTGCTGCTGCTGTTGCTCCTCCACCTCAGGTTCTCCCCCATCCTCAGTCACCCCAGAGATCTCCTCATCTGAGACAGTGACCTGCACTTGCCTCGAAGGCCGCTGCACCTCATCGGCCTCAATGATCAGCGGTGTAGTAGGAAGCTTTTGCTGCTGCTTCTTCCACTCCTTGTAGTACAAGGACTCAAGGAACTTCACATCCCTTGACACAGTCAGCTGCTGGCTGGTCAAGTCCCATATCAACCAGCCCTTATGATCCTTAGCAAGCCCCAAGTGTACTCCCCATCTCCCAGAAGCCTCCAACTTTCCCCTCTTCTCCTTAGGCACATGAAACACCACCATGCAGCCGTAGGCTCTCAGCATGTTGACTGCTGGTGCACTCCCATACCACTTGGTGTAGGGGACCCATTGCTTGTCCCCCACAGTCGCCAACACCCTGTTCTTCACAAGGGCGACCTGCCGCAGTGCAGTCACCCAAAACGGATCCGGCAGCCCTGCACGCCCAAGGAGAGTGCGAGAACCTTCCTGCAGGGTCCGGTTGAAGCGCTCAGCCACGCCGTTCTGCTGAGGGTTGTAGGGAACCGTGAGCTGATGCTGGATCCCCTTCTTCTTCAGCACCGCCTCAAAATCAGCGCCAATGAATTCTCCCCCGTTGTCAGTGCGGATCACCTTCACCTTGTGTCCGCTCTCCCTCTGAGCTTTCGGCATCCACTCCTTAAGAACAGCCGCTGCCACTTCCCCCTTAGTCTTGAGAGGGTACACCCACACCGCACGTGTGTGGTCATCCACAATGGTTAAGAAGTAGCGGCTGCCCGAGAGAGAAGGGGCCCTCGTAGGGCCCACCACATCCATGTGCACAAGCGCGAGCGGGGCCTTGGCTGGTCCCGTGCCGCTGCTGAAGGGAAACTTTGTGAACTTGGTCGCAAGGCATGTAGGGCAGCTCCCAATCTCCTTGACTGCCCCTTTCACCTCCAACCCCTTCAAGCTCCCATCCTTCACCAACTTCTGCAGCATAGGAAAATTCACATGACACAGCCTTTCGTGCCACGTTTCCCAATCAGCCTCACCACTCCTAGATGAAGCCTTTGCCCATGCAGCTGTCGCATCCACACCAGCAAGCACCTCACCATGTGGCTGCTGTGGCTGCTGCACCTTCTTGACTGCATCCAAGGGCCCCATCAGTTGGTGCAATCTACTCTCCTCCTGCAGTTGCCTTTGCCGTTGCTGCTGCCGCTGCCGTTGGTGGTGGTTTCCCGCTCCAAGGGATGATGGGCAGCTGCCACAGGTCCTTGATACAGCTGCTCTTCTCCTCCAGGTTCCATAGCAGCAGCTTCCCAAGCTTTGCACGGCAGCTGGTTGGGTCAAAGGTCACTTTGGCCTTGCTCTTCTGCAGTCGGCGCACAGAAAGAAGGTTAGCGGATAAGCCTTCAACCAACAACACATTCCCCAGCCCCACAAGCCCCCCATTGGCTCCCATCACCTTGGCATTCCCACACCAATCACAGGGAGCAAAGCACCTGAAGCGGCAGCCACAAACTTGATCTTTCCAGGGGGCTTTACCTCATCAAGCAAATCTGCCCGTGGGGTCATGTGACTTGTGCAACCTGAATCTATCACCCAGTGAGTGAGGGGGTGCATCACAACCTTTCCAACTGTGCCCACATCACCCTCACTCCCTTTTTCATCCTAAACCATGAGGAACATTCCAAGGTTGGCTTTACCGTGTGCACCATCACCTTGTGCACCTGAACCTTGCACAGCGCCACCTCGTGCACGTTCACCACTTGGCGGCTTCATGCCTAGAGGCGCCCATCCCTCAGGTCGGCTGAAACACTTGAACCACGGGTGTCCAGCCTTCTTGCAGTACCAACACGCACCCTCCATTCGGGTGCTCCCCCTGCCACCAGAGCTCCCATGCCCCTCATTGTAGTCACCTCGGCCTCTCCTTCTGCCAAAGCCTCTCCCACGGCCTCGGCCTCTCCCTCCCCCTCTTCCCGTGCTGCCTCCTGCAGCTCCATACCCCTCAGCAGTTTTGTTGGCAGCACCACCACCCGTGTGGCACCTGCGGAAGTCCTCCTGCAGAATCTGCTGCCGTAGCCACTCAGGTGTCCACTGGTCCTGCTGAGTGTTGAGGGTGGGGATGAGGTTGTCCCACGAGTTGTCGAGCACCAAGATGATCTTGGTGCACTGCTGCATCTGCGACACATTGCTGCCCGCCGCTGCCATCCTCGCATAGGTGTCCTTGATCTTGTCAAGGACCGGCTTCACATCATCACCCGGTCTCATGGAGAGGGCAGCCAGCTCCTTCTCCAACACAATCACCATCGGCAGCGTGTTGGGCTGAATCACGTCGCGCAGTAGCTTCCACGCCTTTGGTCCGGAATCATCCAACTCCACCAAATCCTTGATGTGTTGGAACATATCGTTGTTGACCGATTGAAGGATTAGGTCGTACAGCACCGCACTCTTCTCAATCCACCGATCTCGAGCATCTCCTTCCTCTGGCATCTTCTCTTCACCCATCGCAAGTTTCAGCAGCTTGTAGCGCTTGAATGCACTCCGCATCCGCCCGCTCCATTCCTCATAGTTTGAGCCATCCAATGCCTCGATCTTGGATGGTGGCGGCTCATTTCTCTTCTCAGCTGCATCTCCACTCCCTTGACTCATTTCCTCTGCTCCCAAACACAGGTTCCAGCTCCCCCTTTGCTGTCCACACCGAAGTCCCACTCAAGTGTCGGCGCCAACGAAATTTCGGCAGAGTTTCCCCTTAGCGGAAGTCACTTGCAACCTCCAGAACTCCACTTAGGCACGCCCACAGGCCATGGTGGGTCTAGGAGGGTCTTCACACTTCAGTCCACTCTTCACAAAGTCCTTAATCAGCTCTGATACCACTTGTTAGAGACTAAGGACGGAGTCTATGAAGATTAAGGGCCGAAATATCTTAAAGTCGTCA